TTATACTATAGCACATTTCTAATAGGTTTAACGAATTACATGTCATTTATTTGAATTCAAATTTATTTTAATGACTTAGTATTTACTAAAAAGATGTAATTTTTTTTTAAAAAAAAGTTTTTATATGGATTTGAATGATTGTTTTGAATTCTTAGAATTTTGTGCATTTGCAATGTACCTAAGTTAGTAGCGAGTGAAGCGAGCTTGGTTTGCGAATAAACCATATAAGATCGCGTAGCAATTTTCGGGGGTTGGCGAGCGTTAGAGAGCAGGAGGCGCAACCCACTAGTAATATATATTGTATGATTTATCTAGTTCTCAATTGAACAACGATGTATAGTTAAAAACACGAAATCAAAACATTGAAACTTCTAACAACGAAATAGTTATGACAACTATGTATATATACTTAAAAAATATTCATGTACATAATAAGTACAAATTATGCAAACATATAAAAGTAAAGCAAATTCCAGATATACATATTTAATTTCAATACATAAAGTTATATACGTCATATACATACAAATACTTCAGAGCGTTTCTTAATAGTAACATCATGTAGATGAATTTACATTCAATAAATAGTACATATTACCTTTAAATAAGAAACTCTTTCTATTTTAATAAATCTTATTTTTGCACAATAAAAACTACATCCTGGCACTTTAATTTGTCTCCATATATGTCTGGTATGATTATTACAAGAAATTACCATTGATTATACCGACATTTTCTTATCTTTTAAAAAAATGCATGTGATGAATTAATTAGCAAATTTATTTTTTGAAATATTTTATAGAATAGTCTTTGTAATCAACGATTGCAAATTGTTGCCATGCAAACTACTTAATTTTTTCCTTCCTTTTCTTCCCAAGATCATTTTTTATATACAGTATAAATACCTCAATATGGCACCCCCGCTTCGATAGCCCGACGACCTGCACGCGAAGTCGAGCACTTGACGGTAGAACAGTTTAACGAGGACCTATACCGCCCACCCTCTGTCCCTACGCAGACTGATCCAAGTGGTCACCCACCCGCACACTGACCGCAGCCAGTGATGCTTGACTTCGGTGATCTGCTGTGAGTAAACAGTGCGCATGCGTTGCTATGGCGACCGCTGCTGTTAGATAATTTTTGTTAGAATTTTTTTTTTCACTTTTAATTTTGTTATGCATTTAGTTGATGAGTTTATTTTTTGAGATATGGGACCAGCGAGATCCCATAAATACTTCTTGAGTTGTGAATAAAAGAGAATTTCATCATTTGAACGATATTTTTAAGTGTTTTAATTAAGAATCTGAAATTCTAACCTACAGTTCATACTGGATCGTTTTCAAAACTAATTTAGGTAAATATGACAAATGAAGAAGGTCCAAACTGATTGACACTGTCCCAAAAGTTTGAGTTGAAGCAAAAAAAAAAAAAAAAAACGATGCCAAGGCCTAAACTTACCGAGGTTGAAAAAGCCAAAGAACGTAGATGGCAATACCTTAAGCGTTACACACAAACGGAAAAACGAAAAGATTCCGTTCGCAAACGCAAGCATGATGCCCGTCCCTCACAAAAGTATCAAAGTGGTTGAGGGAATTGAGCTCTACCGAAGAGCGAATGGTGACTCTCCGAACCTCTTTCATGCAAATACGCGAACTTGGTGTTGATCACCAGGTTAGGGATTAAAGAATCCATTGTTAACGTACCAATAACTTGCACATGACCATAGACGGTCTTTCCGAGCAATATAAATGGTTCATTCACTATTGGTATAAAAGTGGGAAAAAAGCCAAGCTTATAATCATATCTCATGTATGAAGTTGTTAATCCGAAACGGCTGTATGATGCAACTTACAATCTCCATCAAACACCATTGTTGTACCCATCCGAAAATGTTAATATTGATCTGGATTGGCTGTTCAATGTCTATTCTGTCATCAAAAGAATTTGCACAGAATGTGTCTGAGGTGCATTTAAATATGTCTGAGAAATTGTGTACCGAGCAGTTCAAGATTAACAATTAAAGATGTCCAAGCTGAAAATACAATGAAATTTCTTTTACTAAAAAATTAAACTACAGCCATTTTGCCATTGGTTAACCTGTGATTGCCGCAAGGCGATCACAATTTGCTTCATTTTGTTGTGAATCGTATTTTAAAGTTTTTAATTTTATTTTAAATAAAAATATGATTTTTTAAAAATACTTTGATAATTTTTTCTTCATTTTTTTGTTTATAGCATTTCCCTCATTTTTTTTTCTTCATTTTTGTTTATAGCATATCGCTTTTTTTTCTTCTATAATATTGTTAATTAAACGGGAGACTTTATTTACTTCCTTTTCTTTGAGCAGTATATTTTTAAGCAAATCAACTGTTTAATACGGATCATCTATCAATGTTGGGAAGTTCATATCACGTCCTCAGGTCAATCTTCATCTATCAAAAAGTACCTCTCGATGGAACTGAGGTCTGAACATGTGGTATATCCTAGTGATTTGGTATTTAATGTTTGTAGTGGTAGCTACGCCACAGGAGAATACATAAAAGTTCCTCAAATAGTGCTAATTTTACAGCTATAAGAATTTAATCAGGGATGGACTGGCTCACAGAAACACCGAAATGTATCCTGGTGTGCATTTAAAATTCGTTCCTCCGACCCGGTTATTTATTTATTTATTTATTTATTTTGAGAAACCGAAATTGATTAATTGATTTTAAATGTATTTCAAATTTTTCTTTCCTTAGAAATGAGCCATTTTTATTATTTATTCTTCAATTATTATACAGTATTCAAATTCTGAAATTATTTAATAAAAACCACACTACATAAGTATAAAATAATATTTACGTATGAATTGAGTGGACATTTGTAACTTCAAACAAAAACAACAAAAAAATCGTTAAAAAACCTAAAATAGAATTGTTTGAATTTTTAATTTTGTCACTTTTTTGTAATAATTGTGACAGTAAAGAAAATAAGTTCAAAATTTTCAAATTACTTACTTCCATAAACTTTCTTCCACTTCCTTTTTCACTGAAATTAAATGGAGAAATACTAATTTAATTTTATTCTTTAAGTATCCGAAATCTTAATTAACAAAACACATGAAACAAATCCTAAACGCACAGTAGAAATTTTATCAGGGAGTAAAACGAGGAAAGCATCTAATATTATAAAAATTGTCAAAATTTTTTTTAAAATGGAAAAATAATTTAACTTGCGAACATCAGAAATTTTTAACAATTTGATTATTGCTTAAATGTACAATGTGCTAGGCCAACAATTTCAGCCAAAAATTTTACTTAACATTTAAATTTTAAAACGAGAAAAAAGCAATAAATATTGCGCTTTATCAAAATTAAATGAAATTAGCACTGACATGCAATTGCTGCGAGAACGAGATGAAAAAACATAAATTTCTTTACATTTTCTTTAAAAGGGTGACTTTATTAGTATCAATGATCAAAATTTGACTACCGTCAATTATTCTTTTGAGAACGCGGCTCTCACAAAATTTATTTTTGTTTAAAACAAATTCATTGCTTCTATTTCGATAATTAGAGATTATGCATTATGAACATAGTAAAAAAGTCTCCTCCCCACCCCTAAAAAAACTAAAAATTTGCAAACATTTTAAACAGAGATTTTTAAAAAAAGAAAATGCAAAGAATTTAACAGAGGCTAGAGTCAAGTTTCGGGCAATGTTGAATTAGCCATAAAAAATAAACTATTTATGTTATGCATTTAAAATCTTGTTTTTGTAAAGAAAATACTGGATTTTACAGATGAAAATTTAAATAAGATTCTTCTTTACTTTGATTTAAATTTTTTGCTTTTACAATAGTGTAAATAAATGTTCTTCAGCTAATTTTTAAATATTAAGATAAAGAAATTTTTACTATTAATAGTAAAAGATAATCATTAATTATAGCATGATAAAAAAAAAAATATATTAATACTAATATATCAAAATATATTTTGATCAATACTCGGATCCATTGTCCTTTGGCTAATTTTCGATCCCAGTCCCTTTTGCTTATCTCTAGATCCCGCTATATTTTTATCGGTATTCGAACCCTCTATTTTTATTGGTATTCGAATGCACAATCTTTTTTAACGGCTCTTGAACCCACGATGCTTTCATCTATACTCAAAACTTACAATTTTTTGATCTGTTCTAGAACCTAACCTGTTTTTAATAGTACTCAAACTCATCATCGATTTTTATTGACTCTTGAACCGACTCTCATTTTTATCGGTACTCAAATCCTCTCTCATTTTACCATTTTTTGAACCCAATCTATTTTATTCAATACTCTAACCCATTGTCTTCATCAGTACTCGAACACGTCGCACTAGAGCTGCACAAAGAGCTATTGGCGACGGTCAGGGAAAACTCCCTAAAGATGATCCGAAGACATGCGATCGTAATTTTGATTCTCTGCAGAGGGAATTACTCCCTTGCTTTCGTAGCCTGGCGACCTGCGAGCGAATTCGAGCACTTTATGGTAGAACAATTTAACGAGGACTGATACCGCTCACCCTTGGTTCCTACGCTGGCTGATCAAAATGGCCACCCATCTGCTTACTGACCACAACCAGTGATGCTTGACTTCTGTGTTCTACTGGGAACCGCGTCCATTGTAGGACATATTGATGTTCAAAGCCACAATTTTCATCAGTACTAGCACCCGCTATCATTGGATAAGTTTTTTGAACCTATTATCATGTAATTATTACTCGTACCAATTATCTTTATATCAGCATTCAAACCCTCCATCATTTAATAAAATTCCGAACCGACTCTATTTGGTTCAAAAGTCGAGAGCACATTCCTCGGTACTCGAACCGTCTCTCTTTTTATTGGTTTTCAAACCCAGTATCATTTGATCAATGATCGAACCCTGTACTTTTTATTGTACTAAAATTCGCTATAATTTGATTAGTACTCGAACCAATAAATCTTTCAATCAGTAGTCGAATCTACTCTCTTTAAATCCATACTCAAACCCACCACCTGATTATGGGTATAAGAATCCACTATCGTTGGATCTGCACTCGAAACCATTATCATGTGATCAAAAATCGAACCCGCTATCTTTTGATCGCTAATCAAATTCCACCTTTTTCATCAATAAGGAAACCCACTATGATTTGATCAGTACTCGAACCTGCTATCACTTGAACATTACTCGAAACCCCTACTTGCTTCCAATACTCGAACCGACTTACTTTTCCCACGGCTCTTCAGTTCTATGTTCTTCCTACAACAAAAATAAGTTGCATACAGCGTTCTTGTTGGTAAATATCGTTTTGATCGATGTCATTCATAATACTACTTTAGAAAAGCATATTTTGTGTAGTAATGAAGAGGGTGGTTAATTTTGTAGTTCCTTAAATGAAGCATTTACAAGAAGTAGTTTAAATAATGAACTTTTTTTAGCAATTGTCTAAAATAAAACGTTGTTTCTACAAAAAAGAACGAAATATGTTGTATGATGGAAAGAAGTTTCGGTAAAATTGTCTTCATGCTGGAAAGAGCCCTTAAATTCTAAAAAAATCAATTTTGAGATAAATGTTATTTAAGTAAAAATTAACTCTCTATGCTGAAGAGAAATCCTATTCATTCATTGTATTTGATAAAAAGAGCCTTATTTGTTTACTATGTGTGATAAATCATTCTTACAAGAAACTCTTTCAAATGATCACTTTTCTGTTCGAAATGAAAAGAAACGTTATTCTTGCAGCTTGGGTGATAAAAATTTCTCTCGGAAAGATTTAATAAATCACTTTTTCGTTCATAGTGGATTGAAGCCATATTCGTGCAGTGGTTGTGATAAAACTTTTTCTCAGAAAGTTCATTTAAACAAGCACTTTCTCGTTCATAGTGGAGAGAAGCATTTTTCGTGCAGTTTGTGTGATAAAACTTTCTCTCAGAATACTAATTTAAAAAAGCACTTTCTTGTTCATAGTGGAGCGAAACCTTATGTATGCTTCGCATGTGATAAAACTTTCTCAACTAAAAGAAGTTTGAAGATTCACTACCGTGTTCATACTGGAGAGAAACCTTTTTCATGCAATATATGTTCTAAAGAATTCGCTCAAAAAAATAATTTAAATAATCACCTTCTTGTTCATAGTGGAGAGAAGCCTTTTTCATGCAATGTGTGTGAAAAGACATTCACACAGAAAGCTAGTTTAAATAACCACTTTCTTGTTCATGGAAGAAAACCTTATTCATGCAGTGAGTGTAATGAAACTTTTTCACAGAAAGCTCATTTAAATAGTCATTTACTTGTTCATAGTAAAGAAAAGCCATATTCGTGCAGTTTATGTAATGAAACATTCTCACAGAAAATCAATTTAGACCGTCACTTTCTTGTTCATAGTGGAGTGAAACCTTATTTATGCTTCGCATGTGATAAAACTTACTCATCTAAAGAAAGTTTGAAGATTCACTACCGTGTTCATACTGGAGAGAAACCTTTTTCATGCAATATATGTTCTAAAGAATTCGCTCAAAAAAATAATTTAAATAATCACCTTCTTGTTCATAGTGGAGAGAAGCCTTTTTCATGCAATGTGTGTGAAAAGACATTCACACAAAAAGCTAGTTTAAATAACCACTTTCTTGTTCATGGAAAAAAAAACTTATTAATGCAGTGAGTGTAATGAAACTTTCTCACAGAAAGCTCATTTAAATAGTCATTTACTTGTTCATAGTAAAGAAAAGCCGTATTCATGCAGTTTATGTGATGAAACATTCTCACGGAAAATCAATTTAGACCGTGACTTTCTTGTTCATAGTAGAGCAAACCCTTATTTATGCTTCGCATGTGATAAAACTTACTCATCTAAGGAAAGTTTGAGGATTCACTACTGTGTGCATACTGAAGAGAAACCTTTTTCATGCAATATATGTTCTAAAGAATTTGCTCAAAAAAATAATTTTAATAATCCCCTTCTTGTTCATAGTGGTGAGAAATCTTATTCTTATTCATGATGTGAAATTTGATGGTTTTTGTTTACATGAGAATATTTTTAAAAAATGCCTCAGACTGGATAATGAGTCATCTTTAGTTTCATTTTTATAAAGTTGCCCATTGTCCCAGCTTTGTCATAAATTGATTAAAAATACAGATCATTGCACCCATGTTTCCTTTTTCCGAGAAAAAGTTATTAATTTTTAAATTTTATACTTGTATATTAAATAATGCTTGAATTTTAGCAATGATTTGTGGGAACGGAATGTATAGAATTCCCCAATTTTAAGTTTAAAAAAATGTCTTGGTGACAAAAGTTTAGAATTTAAATATTAAATAATGTCTTTTGAAAAAATTGCTTTGATTTTAGCTATTTGAAATATTTTTTTTTCATTTTTATCTATGTTATGAAGAATTCTAGAAAATGCCGTAATTTTAATTAAAAAAATTACTTTAATTTTAAAAAAAACTATTACTGCAGCTTTGTTGAATTTAGAAAAATAGTGTGAATTTCCTTCGATGATGTTCAGTGGAAATTTATTGAATTCCTCAAATTTAATTAAAAATTATATTTAGGAAATATTTTAAGTAGCACCTTTGAAAATAATTGTTTTGATTTTAGAGATTTGAAATTTTTTTTTTTTGTATTTTATCGAAATATTCTAGTAAGGCTGCAATTTTATTTAAAACAAAATTATATTATTTTTGTATTTAAATTTTTAAAAAAACTTGCATTAAAAAATGCTTGAATTCTGTTAGTTATCTTTTTAAAATATTTTTATATTTAAATTTACTATAGCTTACAGCAGTGTCCCAAACTTATGACTTTTGTGTACCCTTTCTAAATTTTTTGTAGCGCTGTGTACCACTCATAAAAAAATGAATGTATTTTTTTCTATAAAAAAATTGCCCAAAAATTAAAAATCACAACTGGCTGTTGACACCACTCATTATTAACTGTTAACTGCAAAAAAATAGCCAATAGAAAAATACGCAATCTTAAATTTTCGTGGCTAGAATTGTTTTTAAATAAAATTTTTTGAAAATTTCCTTTGTTGCAAGATATTTCGCATAAGAGCGCGTACCCCCGCTAAACTGTTCCCGTACCCCTGGGGGTACGCGTACCACACTTTGGGAAACACTGGCTTACAGTAAAAAAATTACTTTAATTTCAGCAAATTTTTAAAAAAATTATTATTATGGCTTTGTTGAATTTTAGAAAGTAGTGTGAATTTCCATTGATGTTCAGTGGAAATTTATCGTATTCCTCAAATTTAATTAAAAAATATATAAGGGTAATATTTTAGTATTTTAAATAGCACCGTTGAAAACAATTGTTTTGATTTTGGGGATTTTAAATTTTTTTTATTTTACCCGAAATATTCTAGTAAAGGCTGCAATTTTAATCAAAGAATAAATTTTTTTGTATTAAATTTTTTATAAAAAATATGCAGTCTTATTTCAAAATATTATGATGGAAGGTTTTTGATTCTATGTACTTTTCATTGCTGTTTACATACTTTTGCCGAAATTATGTTTTATTAACTAAATAAAATTTTTAAAAATGACATTAAATAATGACAAAGATTTTATCACATTATGCAACATATTAATAGTTGAGTTGTAAAGTAAGACTGATAACTTTTGTCAAAAAAAATTTATATTGATTTTATTATTATTTTTTTTAGAATATTTCTGTTATGGATGCTTTTACTGATTATGCAGGATATTGCCAGGTAGTATTAAAGCCCAACACTAAAAGCGCTGTCTGCATTTATTTTGGTTTACCAGCTGTTGATAAGGCCGGATTTTAAACTGAAATATTATTGTTTGAAAATTATGCTCAGAAACTGTTGGATCAAAAAGTGGGGGTTCAAGTAACCTGACAAGTCATCTAAAGCATCATCATCCTTTAAAATTTAAGGAATTGAACACTTCAAGCAAACCATTGACAATAAGTATTAATCTAGCCATTGATGTTGATGATCCTCCAGCTCCAGTTAATGCTGAGCAGAACGCAAATGAAAGTGGGAAGAAGCGGCCAAAAACTGTGTTAGGTTTTCAACCGCTGGACAGTAAATCCTCAAAAAATTTCACTGAGGCTGTGGCAAAATTTATTGCAACATCAATGCAGCCATTTGCCACAGTAGAAAATCCAAAGTTCGTGGAAATGATGATTTTTAACCAAAAATATAAGTTGCCTGGATGAAAACACTTTTAAACTGTAGTTATCCGGTAATTATGTAGCGATATGGTCGAAAAGATAAAGACTGAAATATCTTCCATACAGAGTTCTGATATAGAAATCACTACTGACTGTTGGACAATCAATACTCCTTTTCTAGCAGTGACTGCTCATTATATTACTAATGAATGGCAGCTTCTAAGTGCGTGTTTGAACTGCAAGCATTTCATAGAGGACCATGCATCAGAAAATTTAATTGAAATGCTAGCTAATACTTTAAAAGATTATAATATTGATGTTAAAACATTGCCCCCAACATCTGATAATGGCACTAACATTGTTAAAGCTATCAAAGATCTTAAGATAAACCAGATTTCATGTTTTGTCCATTATATAAACATTGGTGTCAACCATTCTCTACAACAGTCTTCCCTGAAGAGAGCAATTTCTTGCTTGAAAAAGCTACAAAACACCATTTCTCATTCATGGAAGAAGAAAAGAGATTTACAGACAGCTGAAAAGCAATTGAGTATGACTATTGAAAGCTTACCGAGTGCATGTCCGACATGTTGGTGGAGTACAACAAAACTTTGCAGGCGGTTTTTGTCCAACCAGCTTCCTCTCTGCAAAGTTTTGCTGGATTATCCCTCTAGAAAACATTTAATGCTTGAAGGATCTGACATCAATGGAGTGTTCAGTTCATCTGGAGTGTTCAGTAGTAACGCGCCAATAAGAATAAAACTAATTCATTTCTTTTGCCCGGAAAATATTTTATTTCTCATTTTATCCACCTGATGGCAGTACCAGGATATTTTTATGGTATTTGTAGATAGTTTATTTTAAACTGGGTGCGGCACTAATCAAATACGTAATTGGTGATCGAAATGGGCTGCAGGTGGCGTAGAGCAGAACTCTCTACCTATGGCAGTACATCGTATGCTTTCCCTATTAGCGTGTGGAGAGTCATAGAGGAAGTTTCTCTCTTGATTTTCATATAGATTAAAATCTTTTAAGTTGGAAAACTATATAGATCTGAAAACTACATTAAACATAGCTCTAAAGAAAATCATCACGGAAATTTTAAAAAATATTTTAATTAAATAAAAGGGAAAACATCGTAGTACATTCCTATACAACTGAAAAGAAGAGGAGAGGAAAGGGAGAACGGGCAAAGGCATGAAACCGATCTCTCCTCAGATGGCGTACTCGAGTGTTGCAATCGCCAATACAAAAGCCAAAAGAATAGGCACTTTTATGACCGTTTTCTTGAAAATTAACCAATCGTTAAGGGGTTAAATGATGTTCTTTAAACACATTAATTTTTATTTGCATCCATACATAATATATATACATATTTGCAAATAGCATTTATAATATAGTACATAACAATTTTGCCACTTTATATTGTGATATGAGGCAAACAATATACCACAATATCGAAATTCCGATACTGCCCAGCCCCAGAGGCATATCTAGAGAAAATTGCCCCTATGGCAATCCTCCTATCGCCGCTCTCTCTTTATATATATATATATAAAGAGAAAACAACATGAAATAATGAAAAAACAAGAAGAAAATTATTAAAATAAAATAAAAAAATTTAAATAAAGTTCAATAAAAAGTTTTCTTTATAAAAAATTTGGGGAAAAAGGATATAATATCTTTATCAGCTTACACGATTATATTCGTAGAAAGGAGTGCTTTCTAATATTGTATCAATATAGCCAAAGCAAAATATATCAATACAATAGTGTGAGGAGCACTCAAAAAAATATTTTGGAACAAAACAGAACACATTAAGTAGTAAAATTCACGTAAAAAACAGAAAATAAAATGTAAAGGAAAAACTGAACAGAACACAAAACAAAATCTACAGAGAGCGAGTAGTTAATTCATATAAACTTACATGTAAGGGAAAATTTTCAAGAATGATTTAAAATATTTCCGTAGTAAAATTGTCAGATTACAAAATATGAAAACAGAAGCTTAAATAGAGGAATTTCATTTTAAAGCTCGTTCTTACATCAGTACTGAAGTGTGTTTGATTTGTTACTTACCAACGATTGGCTCAAAAATGGATGTGCGCAAGGTGATATTTAATTACGCAATTTTAATAATTTTACAAAAATAACTTTTATTTAAGAAGGAAAAAAAGAGAGAAAGAAACATGAATTGCCGTTTTGCAGATATTTTTAGCCACGAAATTGCCTGAAATAGATTTGCACACAGTAAAAATTATATAAATTAACCAAGAAGTTTTTAATAAACTTATTTATAACATACAATTAACTCAATGATTTCACATAGAAATTTATACTTTAGTTGGGTATCCATTGTTTTTTTATCACATTTTTTTGTGCATAAATAAACATTACTACATGTTCTTTTAATTCTATTCATTTGATTAAAAATGGTATTTAAATAGATATGTTTAGAAACATTCGTATTCTAAGTAATTAGTTAATTTATATTAAAATTTAAATAATTTTTTTTATCGTTTAAATCACAAAAGCAGATATTTTCTTCTTTTTTAATGCCCAAATCTAAAAAATTAAAATTAATATTATCATCATGATTACGAAATAAGATTACGGGGTAAATATTATTTTAAAAAATTGTATAACCTTGAAAATTAAAGATAGTTAAATCATGAATAAGTCTAAAAACATATTCAATATTGAGAGCATGATTTTTTTTTATAATTATATTGCGAAAATAAGTTAGCTAAGAGAGATGAAAAATTAGATCCTTGTGGTATTCCATCAATTTGAATAAAAATTCTTTTCCATTGTAAAGGTAGTTATTAAAAAGACAAAAATTAATTAGAATTTCCCAATATTCAAAATTGCAATTAAGGATATTTTTAAAATAATAGTAATAGTTCAAAAAGACATCTTTTAGTTTAGAAAGGGGAATGCTACTGAAAAGATCCTGGAAATCAAAAGTCGCAATAGAATTAATTTTATTATCTTTAATAAATTCTCAGCTAGGGTGATTATTAGTGATAATTCAAGAAAAACCTTCTGTAATAATATTGTTAATAATTAATATTTTAGTAGTTAGCGAAAATGGAAACCACTATGTACATATTTTTCCGGCATTGTGCTTGAAATTTTTAAAAGGAAAATAAAGGCAGTTAAAGTCTAGACATTTCAGTTTCGTTTCGCATTTTTTCTTCTTTTTTAGGATAATAAAACTTTTTTTAAAAATCGTATTGTAGACTTGGAACTATTCAAAAGAATTATATGTTTAATAAAAAGTTTGTATATTTAAATTAAAAATTCTTATCTTTAATTCTTGTTTGTTCATTTTATACACTTAAGTCTGAAGGTGGTAGGAACCCATCAAGCAAATTAGAAAAAGAATTAATTTTGATAATCCTAATTATTAGTATCAGATAATCATGCATTATTACAATTTTAATGGTTCGATAGGAAAACGTTAAATCTTTTATTTTAAATTACAAAATATTACGATAAAATTATAAGTTATTTTATTTTTCTTTAAACCCAAATAAATAAGTTGAAAAAATTAGTGCATACAATAATTAGAACAATAAAATCGAATATGAAAACGTACTTCCCCTTAATAAACATGTCATTCATTTTTCATCGAATTTAGGTTTTTGATCTTCAAAATATTTCCCAGAAGCTTAGACTAGAAAACACGTCGAAATTCTGCGCATCGTAATGATGCTCCTCCTCCTCCTCCCTAATATATTTCCTTTAAATTTGCGCTAAATGGAATATTATTTTTACGTAAAGAAACAAAAGTGTTACAATAGTGAAATAATAACTGAAAACACATTTATAAAATCTGCACTAATATAAAATGTTAAAAACACATATTAATTTCTTTTGCTCATATTCGTCGCGCAATTTTCACTTATTTCACAAAATAAATAAATAAATAAAATGGAGGATAAAAAAAACTTTATTTCTAAAACTTTATTATTTTAAATGTTGAGTTCAAAATAGAATGCAGAACTAATTTAATTCGAAATAAAGGGAAAAACGTTCATTCTCTAAGCAGATTCTAAATTGAAGACTGAATTTAAATTATGAAGAAAAAAACTTGTGCAGTTTCAAATGGAAAGAGGGATGGGGTAAACATTCTTGGATGATCTTAAAATCATGTACGAGGAGAGAAAATTATTTTTTTCTTTTCTTCATTTTAATCTTGTAACTTATAAAAATTAACTAGGTAATAAATCTTTTAAAACGTACATATTTTGTTAAGTAGTGTCAAATTGATATACTAAATTAAACTTGTCGAATGATAAAGAGAGTGTTATTTTAAGAGTTAAAATAAAAGTTTATGTTATGTTTGTTTTTTAATATGTAATAGATCAAAATTATATATCAATTAATCTCTTATTAACACAGGTCTTAGAAATATTCTGAATTAATGTAATAAATAAAAACTATTTTACGATGATCTTGATAATCTTTTTTTTTCTTCCAAATATGGCCATGGCTACTGTACCAAGGGTATTCTTTAAAAAATCCATAAAAGACATGATAAAAAAGTTGCTAAAAGAATTAGCTAAAAAAGATATTATTTTGAACGGGCATAAAATGTTTTTTAAAAAAAGGTACTGTTGTTGTTAATTTACGTCACACTAGAGCTGCACAATGGGCTATTGGCGACGGTCTGGGAAACATCCCGGAGGATGATCCGAAGACATGCCATCATAATTTT